GAGTAATGACATTGCTTCTTGTACTACATTTTCAAATACATGTGTATAACTGGTTCAGCAAGATGGATAACACAAACAACTGCACAAAAGGATAGTAAGGACTAACTAGAATACTACTTGTTCCATACACCAATAACCAATGTGTATGCAAAATCTAGCACACAAAAAGGGGACAATGAGACTAATGTTTTGTCATATTTTAAGAGGCTGAGACTCACGTGTATTCTGTGGCACATGTATAATTCTTTAAAACTGTGACTTACAGTTTATTTACACTGACTGGTTAAACAATTTACAGTTAGCAAGGATACACATGCATGCATTTGTGCTTTTTGTGGTTTCTTTCTGTATCCCAAGTTAGGAAAGAGACTGAATAGATCTTAATTAGCTCATCTCACAAATTCTAAAAAAAAAAAATCCTTTTTCCACAGTTTTAAATTTCAATTTGTGTATTATATATTATATTGTTGTACAAATTTTAATTTCACTGGGCAGCGCCTGTGGCTCAGTGGGTAGGGCACCAGCCCCATATACCAAGGGTGGCGGGTTTGAATCTTAAACAGCAGTGGCAACTGCAACGAAAAATAGCCAGGCTTATGGCGGGTGCCTGTACTCCCAGCTACTTGGGAGGCTGAGGCAAGAGAATCGCTTAAGCCCAAGAGTTGGAGGTGGCTGTGAGCTGTGAGCTGTGACACCATGGCACTCTACCAAGGGTGACAAAGCGAGAATCTGTCTCAAAAAAATAAAAAGTTTTGAATTTCATAACTTTATAATACTATAACCCATAAACCTTACAAAATCAAATTTTATTCTCATAGATCCAAAAAAGCCTTGATAAAATATTGATTGGTTCATAATTACAAGTTATCTTTTAATAAGGTTCAATTGGTACTTGAGAAAATAATGAAAATCTTCCCTTACACAGCAGAATGAAACTAAGATAAACACCAGATGAAACATATAATTAAATGTAAAAATAAAGAAAAAAAATACTAGAGAAAAACTAGTAGAAAATCTATTTGAATATTCATGCAAGTTTTAAAGAGGAAAAAACTTAAAACTCAAATTATTAGGAAAAAATATCATGAAAGGAAAGACTAACAGATTTAACAACAACATCAATAACATAGGCCTTTTTGTGACATTATAATTGTATTAAAAAGAAAGCAAATTAGGTATAAATTAAAGTTAGTTAGTTATTTTTAACACTTCTTTTTAAAGAATGTATTATTCAATACATATGTGATAAGATGGACATTCTAACACAAGTGATGGAAGTATCAACTAGTACTTTTTTGAAAAAAGAATTTGACAATCTGTATTAAGAATCCTAAAAATATTCAATTAAAAGGAAGAACCATGGCTTTTAAATGAGATAAGCCTCGATTCAAAATTCTTTTTGGTGCTCTGACATTAGGAAAATTCACTGTGTCTTTGGTACTCAAAGATGAACTGGATGGAGTAGTGGATCTGGGAAGGGAGAGATTGGGAGCAGGGCAAGAGGACAGGAGTTACCATGCAATGTGATAAACTCCTCAGTATGTGTCCACTAGGGATGCCACTCAGAGTACCGTCTACTTCTTTTTTAACTTATAAAGACTTTGCAATTTCATTTAAAAGCAATGTATTTTTCTAATCTTTTCTTTTCCTACTTCTACCATACTTCTTCAGGCTCTCATTACTTAATACTGATAAATTTGGTAAGTGGCCTCTCCATGTCTCCTCCTTTCACTTATCCCCTCTACAGAATTAACTTTCCAAAGGATCAGTTTAAGCAACTATATGACTCAGAGACATTCTTCAATGATAAAATCCTAAGGGAATATTCACTGGGGGCTTGGAATAAACCAAAATATTTTATGAGCATCATCTTGTAGTAAAATAGATACTGTATTATTATTTTCATACTTGCAGTAAAATAGATACTGTATTATTATTTTCACTTTAAAGATTAAACAACAAAAATTCAATACAGGTAACCAAGTAGTGGACCAGTTTGGAAGTGAAGACTTCAGATTTGCCCGTTTTTGTCACTGTTACCCTATCATTCTTTACTTCCTTAGTGTAGTGATAGCTATATCAGAGTCAACCGAGGTACTTTTCAGTCAGACAACAAATTTTCTGTTACTGTGAACTAACAGTAACAGAACTAAGAGTAACAGTAACTAATAGTAACAGTTTTGTCCAGACAGACAAAAAAAACAAGCACAGCTTATTTTTTTTTTCTATTTTGCTGTTCATTTCATTCCCCATAGCTAGACGTCTATACAACAGTAAACATCTGAATGATTTGTGCATCTCAATTACTATTGTAACATCTCTAATATAGATAGAGTTAAACACAGATGAAGAAACTGAGCCCCAGAAAGGTGATGGGCTGGAGGTGACACTATTTTTAATGAACAAAAGAATAAACAGAAGCCAAAGCAGAAGAGAATGGATTCTACCTACTGTATTATATTGTCTTTTGTAACACAACACACAGTTCCATATTTCAATACACACAAAGAAAGTTTATTAATGGACCTAAATCCTATCTATAATAGAATTTCAAGGTAGATTTTAATGTTATTCAGAACAGAATGAAGATACTTGTTTTATAATTTCATCATTAAATTATAAATTAAATAGCTACATTTGAAAATTAAACTCTTTTAACTAAAACACATCCTGTACCACTCACATTCTACATAACCCATCTCATTTTCATATGCATCACAGACAGAGATTTTAGTAGTTTGTGTATTTGATGAGTACAGAAAAAGAAAAAGGTGTTAAGTAGAATAAAGAGCTAAGTTACATTCCCTTGGGATCAGAGCTTGGTAAAGTCATTTTTAACAAAAGTTTATAAATACCCCAAAAGTTTATAAATACTTGTAATACTACTCTAAAGAGTTGAATTTTCATAAATAAGATGGTATTTTGTGACTGTGCATTCTATCTTAATCATGACAATAAAAGTTTAAACTTATATTCATAAGAATTAAGCTAATTAAAATAAAATGTTTTAAAAACTGAAATGAATAATCTCTTAATTAAAAAACTAGAAAGGAAATTTTAACTTCCATGAGATTCTCAAAATATTCTTATTCAAAGAGAAAATCAATTAAAATGTCATAAGCTGTTGTTTATAATTATACTATCTTTGAACCCCTCAATTTGTAAAGATTATCTGAAACTATGAATGAGTCACATGACACACAAGTGCTTCTAAGTAATGTTCCAGGTAAAATTAGATGTACGGAATTAGAGAAAAGTAAAAAAATTATGTATTACCAACGTTTAAAGGTCTCACCTATTAATATCCTGCTCTTCTTGATGCCACTCTTTACTTCATCATCAATCAACTCGGTAAGGACCTGACACATTGTATCAATTGAGTCGAGGTGTTCTGGGCAGTCATTGGATATTTTAAATCTGTCAAACCATACATTGGAGAGTCCTCCTCTCATAGGAGTATATGGCCTGCATACAAACAAAAAGGAAAGAAAGGAAAAAGGAATATTAGAATAGATGCTTTAATTCCCTAAGTTTCATGTTTAAATGAATAATTTCAATTTCCTCCAAGTTTTATAAGTTAAAGAATGCATATTAAAAATACTCCCATGGGAGCAAGATGGTGGCCGAGTAGCAGCTTCTGTGCAACTGGGCATGGTGAAAGTGGGGAGAGAAGACTCCAGGCATCTCTGGCCAGTGGGTTCTGCCCAGAAGCATCCTTTTGGAGATACAGGGAGTCAGCAAGAGATTTCTGGACCCCATGAGGAAGACAGAAGCAGTGAAAAACTGGCAAGTGGTAGGTGCAGTTGTTTGGTCAGAGGCTGCCCGCAGCTAAAACCATAGCAACAGCGAGACTGCAAGCAAGAAAAGCCTTACCTGTGGACTGTTCTGATTTTTTTGGACTTGGGCACTCAACTGAACTGCCCTGGGAGATCTTGGGTGAGTACATGGACAACTTTGGGTGTTGTCTGGAGCCCAGGACTGAGCTGTTGAGCCGGAGAAGAGCTAATATCGTTCCGCTGTGGGCTGCCCACACAGCTACTGTGGGGGAGCTGCCCCGGCATGTTGCAGCACGGGGATCGGCCAGGAGACCTTGAGCGAATAATCTAGTGACTGAGCTGCCCAAAGGCGGGGACTGAGACGCTGGGGAAGAGTGGGGATCCAAGTGTTTGGCAGATTAACAGCCTTGGCCTTTAGGGGCATGGAGGGAAACTGGATATGGTGCACTGAATAGGTGGGCAGCTGCACCAGGAGGAATCCCAGTGATAAGTGCTTTCCTTGGAAGGCTTCTGCTTAGCCAAGGTTCACAGTTTGGAGTGTCTTTTGGGCAGGCTGAAGAGACATCTGGGCTCCCAGGCCTGTGGGGTCTGAGAGGTCAGTGGAGGCCTTCAGCCTCCAACTCATACAGCTGCATCAACATTGTGATTAACATCTCATACCTCACAAGATAACCTGTTGCCCAGACAATATTCAGCAAGATAATATATACTGTTTGGTTTTTTGTTTTGTTTTGTTTGTTTTCTTAATTTCAACATTTTTTTCTTGACATTTTTTTCTTTTTGTTTTTTTCTCTCTCTTTTTTTCCACTATTTAAATTTAAATACAATCTTCCATTTTTGCCTTCTTTAACAATTAGATTTTCATTTTTGCCAGTGTTTCTGCACCTATTATTTGTTCCCCTCCCCAATTTTATCCCGTAAGAGTTTTTGCTTATTTGTTTAGGTTTGATTTATAGTATTTTTGTCTTTCCTCTCTACCTGGTGGAGGTGGGGTACTACTGTGTCTGATCAGGCTGGCAAAGGGCTGTTGACCTCAAGGGAACTACCCAACCCCAGCAGCCCCAGAGGCTGGGCAATTTTAAGGTTGGGTCTTAGTACCCTACTATACACCTATATTACTCCTGTCTCCTTCTTTTGGTGCCTTTCTTCTTTTTGTCAATATTTCCTTTTACTCACCCCATCTTCTTTCTCTTTTTTATTTCTTTTTAAAATCTTTTTTCTCTTCTTGCTCTTCAATCTTCTCATCCTTCTGGTCCAGTACCAAAAGAACTCATTAAAAAATTTAGGCCAGAGGCACAGTAACTTAAAGAGCAAGAAGAAGTGAAAGGAAAATTAGGCCAAGAAAATAGATACAAGAAAGCACTCATGAAGAAGAATCAGCAGAAAAATCCTGGCAACATGAAATGCCAGTCCAGAGCAACCCCTTCAAGGGACCATGAGGTAGTTACAGCAGAGGATTCAACCTATAAAAAAAATGTTAGAAAATGACAGAAGGGGAATTTAAAATACAGATGATGAAAAACAATGAAGGAAATCACTGAGAAAGTGGAAAATAACCAAAAGGAAATCCAAAAACAGAATGAAATAAGAGATGAACGATATGAAGAATATAGAAAGGTTATAGCAGAGCTGAAGGAACTGAAGCTGTCAATTAGGGAACTTAAGGATGCAACAGAAAGTATCAACAACAGATTAGATCATGCAGAAGAAAGAATCTCAGAGGTAGAGGATAAAGCTCTTGAGATAACTCAGATAGTTAAAGAGGCTGAAAGAAGAGTGAGAAAGCAGAATGTTCACTGATAGAATTATGGGACTCTATGAAGGGTTCAAACATATGAAGTATTCCAGAAGGGGAAGAAGAATGCCCCAGAGGAATGGAAGCCATTCTAGAGAATATTATAAATGAAAATTTACCAAATATCACCAAAGATTCTATCATACTCCTTTCAGAGGGATATCGGTCCCCTGGTCACCTCAACTCAAATAGAGCTTCTCCAAAGCATATTGTGATGAATTTATCTAAAGCCAAGACAAAATAAAAGATTTTGCAGGCTGCTGGGACTAAGCACCCAACTGACCTAGATGGGCAAACCTGTCAGGGTGACCACGGACTTCTCCAGTGAAACTTTTCAAGCCAGAAAACAATGGTCATCTATTTTTAACCTACTTAAACAGAGCAATTTCCAGCCTAGAATTCTATATCCTGCTAAGCTAAGCTTTAAAATTGATGGAGAAATAAAATCTTTTATTGATATGTAAACATTGAGGAAATTTGCCACAAGACCAGCTTCACAGGAAATATTTCAACCTTTCCTACACACTGACAAGCACAATGGACCTTTAGCAAAGTAAACACCCAGAAATTAAAGGAAAGAACTTAGTTTCCACAATGATGCAAAAGACAAAACTAAGCAATGGACTTTCACAAAATAAGATGAATTGAACACTACCTCACATATCAATTATCTCAATAAATGTCAATAGCTTGAATTCCCCACTGAAGAGGCATAGTTTGGCTGAATGGATCAAAACACACAAGCCATCTATTTGCTGTCTGCAGGAAACACACTTAGCTTCAAAAGACAAATTAAAACTCCAAGTTAAGTGTTGGAAGACAATTTTTCAGGCAAATGGAATTCAGAAGAAAAGAGGAGTTGCAATCTTATTTTCAGATGCATATGGACTTAAAGCAACTAAAGTAAAAAAAAGACAAAGATGGTCACTTCATGTTGGTCAAGGGAAAAATACAACAAGAAGATATTTCAATTCTAAATATTTATGCACCAAATTTAAATGCTCTCAGGGTGATGGTTTGAAATCGGCCTGGGCCAGCTAAAAAATAGTGACAACTGCAACAACAAGAATAAAAAAAAATAGCTGGGCGTTGTAGTGGGCACCTGTATTCCCAGCTACTTGGGAGGCTGAGGCAAGAGAATTACCTAAGAATTACCTAAGCCCAACAGTTGGAGGTTGCTATTATCTGTAACACCACGACACTCTAACAAAGGCAAAATAGTAAGACTCTGACTCTAAAAACAAAGAAAAAAACAAAAAGAAATTTTACCTTGTATCTTCTGAGACCACAGGCATTAAAGGTGGAACTCAACTCCAACAAAAACATTTGACCCCAGATGAAGGCATGGAAATTAAATAACCTTATTCTAAATGAGTGTTGGGTTCAGGAAGAGATAAAAGAGGAAAACACTAACTTCTTGAGCATAACAACAATGAAGACACAAGCTACCAAAACCTATGAGATACAGCAAAAGCAGTTCTTAAAAGGAAATTTTTTGCTCTAGATGCCTACATCTGAAAAACAGAAAGAGAGCTCATCAACAAACTCACAAGCCATCTTAGGGAACTGGAAAAAGATGTACAAAAAGAACAATCTAAGCTCTCAGAAGAAAGAAAAAGATGTACAAAAAGAACAATCTAAGCTCTCAGAAGAAAAGAAATATCCGAAATTAAATCCGAGATTAATGAAATTGAAAAGAAAAGAATCACTCAGAAAATTAATGAAACATAGAGTTGGTTTTTTGAAAAAATAAATAAAATAGATAAGACTTTGGCCAGACTAACTAGAAATAGAAAAGTAAAATCTCAATCAGAAATGATAAAGGAGAGATAACAACAGATGCCACAGAGATACAAGAGATTATCTCTGAATACCACCAGAAAATCTATGCCCAGAAATTTGACAATGTGAAAGAAATGGACCAACCCTCTCCCTAGACTTAGCCAGCAAGAAATAGATCTCCTGAACAGACCAATTTCAAGCACTGAGATCAAAGAAACAATAAAAAAACTCCCAACCAAAAAATGCCCTGGTCTGGATAGCTTCCTATCAAACCTTCAAAGAAAAGCTTATTCCTATACTGCAGAAATTATTCCAAAAAATTGAGGAGGAAGGAATCTTCCCCCAACATGTTCAATGAAGCAAACATCACCCTGATACCAAAACCAGGAAAAGACCAAAATCAAAAGGAGAATTTCAGACCAATTTCACTAATAAATATACATGCAAAAATTCTCAACAAAATCCAAGCCAATAGATTACAGCTTATCCTCAAAAAAGTCATACATCATGATCAAGTAGGTTTCATCCCAGGGTTGGAAAGCTGATTTAACATACAAGTCCATAACCATTATTTACCATATCAACAGAAGCAAAAACAAAGACAATTTGTAGCAGCATGGCAGTTTCTCCCCCCAGTTTGCATACACACTGGCCTGTCTTGTTAGCATAGGTCAAGCTAAGACCAACATGTTATGCAATAGAGTGCACTGGGCTCAGGCAAACAACCTTGCTAGCAGGGTCGAAACCCAGGAGAGTAGTTCCGAATGGGATAATCAAGGGAGGTTCGGAGACAAAGGACCCAGGGCTTGGTCCTGTTTTTATTTGGATCCCCGTAAGCAGAGATTCAGATGAAGGTTAGGGGGCTGGTAGTGTGTTTGGCAGGTGAACCAAGGAAGCACAGGTGAGGGAGTGAAGAGAGGAAAATGGCACAGGAGCAGCTAATATAAGGTGCACTACTGAGGTCTCCCTAAGCAGTGGAAAACTCAGAAATGTCCCCTGATAGACCCAACTCTGAAGCATTCATCCACTGGCTCTTCTCTCACTGATTGAGAACATCCCTTAGAAAATGAAATCACATTATCTTCCAAACTAGGATAGTCTCCTGTGCTAGAGAAAGC